ACATAGTGGGGGAAAGAGGAGAAGTGTCTATTGAAGGAATGTTTAGGAAGGACCCCTGGGCATCAACAACAGCATGGAAATTAACTGTGGAAGCAGGGGTAGGTGGGGCAGGAGAGACCAGTGGTGGTGGGGGGATTGGGACAACTGTAATTGGACAACAATGAAAAACAGAAATTATCAAAATTTGAATTTATTTGAAGGTAAATCCTATGTTTAATATACCTCATTTTCAAAGACTGAGAGCTACATTTGTACAGTTTACAATGTGTCTGTTTTATCCCCCCACTTAATATGACCAACTACACTTTCCACAGTTTCCTCATAACATTCAGCACCTGGCAATGATACAATCTGTTTAAAAGATATTTTTGTACTAATCACATACCAAGTGGAGAGATGATGTGGTGGCCGATATGGCTAAGTGGATTGAGTGGCAGCCTGTGAAGCAAAGGGTCCCTGGTTTGATTTCCAATCAGGACCGCATGCCTGGGTTGTGGGTCAGGTCCCCAGTAGCAGTAGAGGGGGTGTGACAGGCAACCAGACATTATGTTTCTTTCCCTCTCCCTTTCCCCTCCCCTCTTTCTAAAAATAAATAAATAAGACCTTACAAAAGAAGTAGAGTTACCAGACCACATGGTGATCTTTTGCCCATTCGGTTTCTGAGTATTAGTCCATGTTTTCCCTACCCTATAACATTTACTGATGTTGACAATTTAGAGACACAGTGAAAAGCAGAGAAAAAATACTTACAAAAAGAATGGCAACATATGTCATACCTGAGACTGCATAATTTTCTTTTGGGTGGGTATTTCCCAGATAACTCATTTTAGACTAATACACACAGCTAAGCTAATTGCTTACAGAGTAAAAGCATCAATCAGATGATGGTTTCTCTCTCCCAATCTGTAATGTAAATAAAGTTTTTGATGCTATAAAGACATTTCTTCATTTCATCCGTTAAGTAAATTTAAAAACAGATTTCCCCAAAAATGAGCTTAGAACTTTAAATAATTTGCCTTCTCTTCCCAAAATAGAAAAACATCTGGAACCTCCTTTTTTTATTTTTATTTTTATTTTTTATTTTTTACCCAAATGCAGAAACATATCACAGCCTTAGGAAAGTGCATTGGCTTTTCAGTTCTTTTGGGTGAATGAATTACATCGTTTAAAGTCCACACATTTCATCCCATGATTTTCTGACTTAAATTATTTTCAGAGTCTAAAATGTAATAAGTAATAATGTTGTTCATGGGGCTTTCTAAAATTTGCACCTATACAATGAGATCAGACCATATTACAGAATGTCTTTTTAATTTTGCAGATGCAATTTTACTTTAATTTTTATTTTTCAATTACAGATGACATCCAATAACATTGGAGAGTAGTTTCAGGTTACAGCATAGTGGTCAGACCCTTATATAACTTATGAAGTGATCCCTGAATAAGTCTAGTCCCCACCCAGCACTCTGTGTGATTATTTGAATATTATTGACCATGTTTCCTAACCTTTACATCTGCATGACAATTTTGTAACTGCCAGTTTTTAGAATTTACTTTTAGAACTTCTCATATACAGCAGGGTTGTGTATCAATTGAAAGTTTTACAATCTGTGTTTATTTATTACCTTTTTCCCCTTTGGTAAGAACATTTCAGATCCATGTCTGAGTGAACTTCAATTATGTGATACAGTGTTATCGGCTGTAGCCACCATGTGATACATTAGATCTTCATTAGATCCTTGGAAGAGGCTTCTTCTTCTTCCAAGTGAAAGTTTGAACACTTTATCAACTTCTCCTTGTATTCTTACTCTCAGCCCCTGACAACAATTACTCTCTGAGTTTGTTATTTTTAAATTTCACATATAAATGACACCATGCAGCATTAGTCTTTCTTTGTCTCACTTATTTCACTCAGCAAAATGCCTTCAGGTTCATCCTGGTCATCAGTGAGAAAAATTTATTTTTCTCCTAGCTGAATAATATTTCATTGGGTGTGTAAGTGTGTGTATAACTTTAATCCATTCATCCATTAAACACACTTAGGTTGCTTTTACACCTTGGTTATGGTGAACAGGCTTCAAAGAACCTGAGAATTCAGACACTTCATAATAAGTGTGTCCCTTTGGATATATACCCAGAAGTGGGATTGCTGGATGACATGGTACTTATACAATTGTAACTCACCAGGGATAATAGATAAACATTTCCTCTTTTCATGATACAACATGAGAAGGATGAAAATAATTCCATTTGATAGATACTAGATGAGTCACATTTAATGTTTAATTTCTTCTGAGATTCATGTGTCATTTCACTTGTGTTTTCAAAGCTACTTTTTTTGCCATCCCCCATTTTGATTAGGTTAAATTTTTTGAAATTACTTTTGTATTCATCCTACACAGTTATATTTTGGCTCTTGTCATTTACAACCAATATTTCTATTAAAATACAGACAGCTATTTATGATTGGAGGATGAATTAATGAATAACAGAATGAGTAGCAATTTCATATTTCAATCTCTTTCATTGCATTATAGTACAATGTTGTTTAATGTTTTCTCCTTTAGAGACACTTATTTTTATCAGGGAAAATATAAATTCCTTATATGAAAAATAACAAATTTAATTCAGCAATTAAAAAAAATGAAGGGGGAGAAATTGAAGAGGTGAGTTTGGGCATTAATATTTCTGACAATAATCCTTAGTTGAAAATGCAGTCATTCCTCAGAATATTAGTGACAAATATCATTGTGTACCTGTTGCTAATGGGATTATAATTTTATCTTTTTCCATTATAACTAAGAGACAATGAGTGTATAAATAAATTAAAATAATGCCAGTATTTAGCAACATTTTCCAAGAGTAGGACTGAAACATCTAAGATATTGTTAACAAGGCCTAAAATGTCAATGTTTATAAATTTTAAGATGAAGGTAAGTTAAGAGTAGGGTGGACAAGTTTTTTGTCCCAGAAGTCTTCAGGAATGTGCAAGTGATTGATTTCTCAGGGGCACTTATAAATGCACACACTAAATGACACTCTACAAGCTCACAGTCTCCAATGTTCTGGAGGTGTGTGATGAGATAAGCCCAAGTATAAGAGTTTCCTGTTGAAACTTTAAGTGACACAGTGATGAGAAATCTACTTTTTTTTCTAATTTTGCCTCACTCTCAGTGTTCAGGGGGCAGTCTGTGAGGACCACAGACACTGCTTGTAGACGGGAGTCAGCAGGTCTCCTGTGAAGGATGCACGGCTTTCTGGCTCCCGGAGGTATGTGTCTCTACTCTCCTGTGTCTCTACTGACCGGATTCGTTTAAGGGGAAACTAGAAACGTGAGATGTGATAGAAATAAAGTACAATTAATACGCAATCAAATCAAAGAAAGCACTGGTATTCATTTCTGATACTTTAGGGTAAAGAGTAAAATAGGAAAAAAAATCAAATTTTTGCCTGTGCAAAATTACTAAGAAGTAACCACATGCATATTTTGGTTTGAAAATCAGGATAACTTAAATGGAAAGCTGTAAGCATCCTGACAAGGAGCAGTTAACTTTGGATTTCGTAATTAACAGATATAATAATTATGTGTGTTACTTCATATTTAATCCAGACCATAAAATTAGATTCTTAAAATGAATTCATCCAATCATGAAGGTCAAATATAATTTTTCAAAAATTCATTTTAGTTAAATTAAAGCTATTTGACTTGCAGTAAAAATCAATTTATAATCTCTGTAAAATGGTTATATACCTTAATTATAAACAATCAAAAGATTTTTAGAAATGGACAATATATTGCAAAAAGAGGTACCACATTGATAAGATACTCCTGTGGCAGGAATTGTTACACTGTCTGATATAAGTAAAAATAGTAACATGGCAAATGTGTTACAATTGAGTAACTTTGAAATTGAGTAACTTTGAAATTAAGTAACTTTGGGAAGCTTGCAAATATCAGATTGAGTATTAATTGTTTTACATGCATTGTATGTCACATATTTCCATTCCCACTTTAATTACCAAACTGGGTTGCTGGACACTAATTACTAAAGGTCATACATTGTAAATTTCAAAGGCAGACTATATTCCAAATGTCACTGAGTACAATGACTGAATTAGTAAATTACATTTCCTGATTTATTACATTTTACTGTGCACAGCGGCTGCCTTCACAGAGAGTGACAGATGAGGGATCTTTCTGGACATTTGAAGCAACAGTGTTTCTCTGTAAATGATCTACAGCACGTTTATTTATCGTTTTGTGTATTTTCGTGTTTAACCATTAAATAAATTACATGTTACTGGTGTAAAGTGTGTTGAATAATCCTTTAATGCCCTATTGCTTTTATTATTTATTGAGCTTTGGGTAACTTTAGTGTATCATGTAACATTTCAACATACAAAAAATTTCATTAAAATTTAACTGATCTCTCAGGACTGTACAATTATTCAAAATAAAATATTTGATAGCACCTCTTCTCTCCTTTCACCCAATAATTGTTAAGTGACAAAATTACATTAATTTATTGCAGTTAATCACCATATATGCTAACACTACTATTCCTCCAACTTTAGATCACTCAATTTTTAAACGTGAGTGGATTTAGAAACGTCATTAAAATTGGTGCATTTTTTTTCATACAGTATTTTAGCTTTCACTGTTATTCTAACAATGTTAAAATATTTCAGTGGAATCTGACTTTATAAAGATATTATGATGAACTACTTTATTCTTGTTACTTTTCGCTGCTTCAACCAAAAATATCATGTCAAACATAGTATATCATTTTAAAAACCATTATTCTTCAGAATCACTGAGTTGAAGCTCTAAGTAAATGAAAACAAGACTTCATGTTGGTCAAATGCAAAGTGAGTACTGTTTCTTCTCTTACACTCCACCCACGCTGACTCTCCTAGGGATCCTGTCAGTGTTCACATCACGTATTAACACTGAAGGACTGTCATCAGAGGCACCATCCCTAACATTACTTGGCTGCAGGATGGATCTTCAGAGAGAAAACGAGTCAGAACTGAATCTGGCTAAGGACTCCAGGAGACAGCAAAGGAAAGACAAGGGTGTGAAAAGTTTCATTTTACAAACAGAACAGCAGCACCTGTCCTCTGTGGAAATCGAGTATGGAAATGCTTTACAAGATCTTCCAGGGAATAACAAGAACCACTGCACAGGTGACACATTTAATAGACACACAGTATGAGGGAAAGACCAGGGACTTAGCTGACATATTTTTTCATTTGTGAAGACCAGAGCTTAAAGTTGCAAAACAGTGTCTTAATATGAAATCTGAGCAGTGATTTATTCAGACATCATTATGAGGTGTAGTCTTTGACCAGCAACTCAGTGAGGATTGTATTTCCTGACAATGAAGTGCTGTAATCTGGGGGGAAGATTGCAATGAAAGACTTGGTTTGGGGGTGGTTCAAGTTTATTTATATGGATCCCTGTTCATTTCGGTTCTCTTTGAAAACTCTCCAGCCAATGTCTCCACTTGTTTTTCTCTTGCTGCAGATTCACCATCACCACCAGAGAAGCTCATTGCTGGGATCCTGGGAGTCATCTGCTTTATCTTGATGTACACTTTAGTAAGAATGATTCTGTGTAAGTAAGTTTTTGAAATATTCTAAGAGAACTTCTCACTTGAATGATTCTCTAAACATGTTAATATATTATGGAATAGAGCTCTGCTTTTAAAGTAAGCATTTAGGTAAATGTGGAAAGTTGTGAATTTGTCATATGAATAAATAAGAGAATGATCATAGAGAGATTGTTGTATCTATTTGTATATTTCATTATTCAAATATATGCATTAAAAATCTAAAAGACCATATTGATAAATACAAATTAATTCTTGAGATTGGTTAAACCAATATTTTTAAGAATGGTACAGTGTGATCCAAAGTGTTTTGAAATATTCCTCCCCTAAATATACATTATTTTATTAATTTTCCTTGGGGAAACCAATTTTATTTCAGATTTTACTGCTCCTAAACAATATACCAAATTTTAAACTAAGCAACTAAAATTTGAGCCCTGGCTGGTGTAGCTCAGTGGATTGAGCATGGGCTGTGAACCAAAGTGTCGCAGATTCGATTCCCAGTCAGGGTACATGCCTGGGTTGCAGGCTATGACCCCCAGCAACCGCACATTGGTGCTTCTCTCTCTCTCTCTCTTTATCTTCCTCCCTTCCCTCTCTAAAAATAAATAAAATAAAAGCTTTAAAAAAAGAAACTAAAATTTGATGTTTTTTTAAAACTAGGTTTATTTTTATTAGACAATATTTGTAAAGCACTCTACTGTAACACACATTACTGGGTATTAAGACTCAATATTATACAGTCAACACTAAGCTATGGGTGAATATAGGTGAAACTCCTTTATGTATTTATTTCAGATTTGATAGTTTTCTTTGTTTAACTTTATTTAAATCATTGTTGCAGTACAATTTTCTATCTCTTACTCCAATCCCAACCCACCCAGCCAACCCTCCCCTCCTCCCTCCCATTTCCATCCACCCCTAGGTTTTATCCATGTGTCCTTTATACTTGTTCCTGTAAACCCTTCCCTTTTCTCCCTGAAATTCCCCTGAACTTCCCTCTCCTCTCCCCTTTGAACTCTGCCAGTCTGTTCTTTATTTCAATGTCTTTGGTTATATTTTGCTTGTTTCTTTGTTTTGTTCTTTAGGTTCCTGTCAAAGGTGAGATCAGATGGTATTTGTCTTTCACCACCTGGCTTATTTCACTTAGCATAATACTTTCCAGCTGCACCCATGCTGTTGCAAAGAGTAGGAGCTCCTCGTTTTAATTCCATCAGTATTAATTTTTATTTTGAGAATCACCGTAATGTTTTCCAGGTACTGTAAAACTGGAGAGCAGCAATTTGTCCACAGCAGCAAGGACAGAAAAAGATACATTATGATTTTCAAAGTTCTGTTTTTAGTACAGTTTATATTTTCTCTGTTTTCGGGAAGGCACAGATATAATTTGTGCGGAAGAATATAAATGATGAAATTAGCAATAAATATTCATAAATAATGATTATAGGAGAGTGATTTTTTTCTCATGCAATATGAAGTAGTATATATTTAAAATTACCATATCCAGGCCTGCCTCAGTGGCTCAGCTGATTTGACTGTCATCCCATATGCCAAAAGATTGCTGGTTTGATCCCTGGCCAAAGCTCATACCCAGGTTTCATGTTTGATCCCTTTTTATGGCATGTACAAGAGGCAACTCATCAATATTTCTCTCTCAAATCACTACTTCTCTCTCTCTTTTTCTCCCTTCCTCTCTCCTTAAAATCAATAAGCATATCCTCATGTTAGGATAAAAAATAAGTGAATGAAGTAAAATCACTCACCCTTTGAAACCAATTGGCTTATATGTCCTATGGCTCTAAAAGATGAACAAATAACATTACTATCCTACATAAGAAGTGGTTGCATTCATTGATGTTCTAGGCATTAGAGAATAGATATATTTGTTTATATGCTTTGGAATGTGGTCACAAACAATAGGAGATGAGAGATGACCTTCCTGCATGATGCGTATATGAATGCTTTTTGTTTACATGTATCAGCTTGTAAGTGTGCACAGATATTGTGCTGATATATGCATATACCTATGCATATATGTAGGATAATTTTGTTTTTTAATTCAAATTGTGTTCAGTTAAAAATTCATTGTTTTTATGTTCATCAGAGCTTCTAAACACCTCATAATATTATAAAGTCTCATTTTAAATTATGCCTATAGACTAAGAACAAAATTTTACTCTGTACAAAATTTGTCCAAGGTTAAATATCAGAACAATTTTAGAGAGTAATTTATAAATATATGTATCTATACATACATATCCCATATACATCCAAAGACACACACACACACTTGTATCATATTCAAGACTTTCTTTAGGACACATCATTGAGAAATACAAATAAGTTCTTCTTATTGATTAGATCAAAACTAAGAGATGGTGAAGTTTGATTCTCAAGGCTTTTGAGATATTATCCCCCAAATTATCATGGCTTCATTAATTTTTCTTGGTAAAATCAATTTTATTCTAGGTTTTTTTAATCCTAGAAAATATACCGCATTTCAAACTAAGAAACAAAAGTATTATGATTCATGTAAACCAACATTTCTTTTCTATAATCATTACTTCTTTTTCTAGCTAATGTAATACTGGTACAAAATAACTCTTCTTTCTTGTACATAATATAAATTATATATTACTTTAACAGGGAAACAGACAGTTACAGCAGAGAACCATACAGGGAATCAGACAACAGGGAACCAGAAAGGTACCTAATTATTTTCTATGTTCTGATATCAATACAGCTCCTACCTTGTCTCTAACACCGTCAATATTTATAGGGGGGTTTTTTGGTGGGGGAACATAAATTATGATACCATGCAATAAGTGTGCATAAATAATCAGTAAGAAGGGTATATTTCTTATGCAACAATATGAATATATATTCATTTAAATACAGTATGCTCATTGTTGCCAATTGATTGAAAGATAATTTTGGTATTATAAAAATGTGGTTTCATTCATTGACATTCAGGACATATAGAAAGTGGATATTTTTGTTTGTGTGTTTGCTTAATATGGGCACATAAGTGAGGGAGTGAGGGGCTGACCCTTCTCTGTGAGGGCATATGAGTGTGTATGAGTGTATTATGCTTTATATATGCCAGTCTGTGAGGGTCTATACATAAACTGTGCACTAATTTGTCTCTACCTATGCAAATACTGAAATTAATTTTCATTTTAAAATTCACATTGTTCTTGGATGACAATGTATAATCTTTCCTCAGCATATCATTGTGGTCGATGTCCAGCAGAGTGGTTAATGTACTCCAACAACTGCTATTACATCAGCACTGAAAAAAAAACATGGAATGAGAGTTTGATGGCCTGTGCTTCTAAGAGCTCTGACCTACTCTATATAGATAATGAAGAAGAAATGGTAAGATTTTTAATGTTTCCAACATTTTATTTGAAAGAGTATTTTATTTTATATTTCTATAGAATTCATTCATGTTTTTGTATATATCTAAATTATTGTAAAGATTGTCAGTATTTTATTGTTTGACTCTATAACATTGCAGTTCTTGATTTTCACAGACAATCAGGCTTCTATAAATAACTTTTTTTCCTAAAGTAAACTTTGCTACTTAGTTGTACCATGCATCATGGACAGTATAGATGTGATTGTGTGTGTTACAGACTGCAATTGGTCATGATATAGTAGTTTCCAGCCCGCTCCTGTGCACTCTCTCATAACTTCTCCTCTCTCCTCACTTAACCTCTATTCAGAGATTTTATATCACAAATTATTTGTGCTTAATTTTGAATTTTATGTAATGAGAATCATTCATTTTGCATTTTACATGTGTCCATTAACTGACTCATGATATATTATGAATTAATTCATATAACTGAATGTACTTGAAGTTTGTTCATTTTCACTGCTATATTTTATATACCTGGCATTCTTTAATCTATTCTACTCAGAATAGAAATATTTTTAATATGTGGTTGCTATGAATAATTATTTCTTAAAAATCATTCTGTATTTCTTTTTCCAAATAACATATATTTAAAATAATTTATACATAATAGTACATATAATATATAAATTGATATACTCTAGATGTTATGTTTGCAAAATGTAATAATAATTTATAAATGTAGTTATTCTGATGGTGTATGTGTATAATTAAAATGTATTGCCTTTTTGCATTAGAATGAAATTGCAGGGTCAAAAATACATGTGTATGTAAATTATCCCTGCACTTTCTAGTTTGTTGCATAAATACACATTATATTCAATAGTTTCATGATCCAAAGTTTAGTACTACCAGAAATTTTAGTGCCATCAGTTCTGATCTTTATATAAAAGCATCATTATGACTTCCATAGGTATTTTCCTTATACGGATCAAGTGAACACTTCTTTCAGAGCACCGTTCATTATGAATTTCTGTACTGTGAGAATGAGAAGTGCCCATTCATATCTCTTGACCATTTCTCCTGTATGTTACCTGTTATTTCCCTTCTTAGAAGTAATGATATTTTGGATATAACTCCTTTTTGAATTTCTGAGATGCAAATGGCTTTCTGGATTATTCATTACATTTTTCTTCTCATATTCGAGTTTTTTAATGACCAGGATTTATTAATGTTACCATAGTCTAATATCTCATTTTGGACATTGGTGATTATTTTGGACATATTTCACAAGTTGTTCAAAGTTCATGGAGGTAATCTATTGCATTACTCTGTATGGTTTATTTTTCTCTTTATTGATGGGCTTTTAGTTTTAGGTTTATAATACTTTGAGAATGAATACTTCTGAGATGCTGTGTTTGTGATACTGTGTGGTAGAGATGTAGTTCTCACTTTTCTGCATCATTACCAGTTGATACAGCATAATTTATAGCAGATGATCTTTTCTACATAACAACTTTATATACATCAGTCTATATATTTAACATAAAATTTAAGAAGATGATCACTCATTGTGTCTCAAAAATTGTTTTTCTGTCTTCTTTTGTCTTTCTTTTTGTTCACAGGCAATAATTACATCTAAGTAGGTTTTACTGATAAAGTTCTATAAAGGTCTCCGAGGTTCCATTAGTTTTTCTATCTCATTCTCCCTACCTGCAGGAATTAATTATTTCTGTCACTCCATCTTTATTTCATCAATTCTTTCTTCTACATGTCAATATTTATGTAAATATATTGAATTTTGTAATGTAGATAATGATTTTTCAACTGATAATTTTGTTTGATTCATCCATACAGTTTTTATTTCCCTAATTGTTCCATCACTGCCATCATATTGCCATAGAGTTATTTGAACATAGTTTTTAAAATACATTTTAGGTACGTATATCTTTATAATAACTAGTATTAAATATTTGTATAAAAAAACCCAATATCTTATCCCAGCAAAACTTATTTTGTATGGCTGATTTATCACTCTGACTATGGAAGGTATTTTTTAGTTTGTTTGCATGGTTTTAAAGTTTGGGTAAGTCCACATTTTCAATAAACATAGACCCTCCTACATGCTTATTAGATTTATACTTTTGTAACTTCAGTAAACTATTACTGTAGAATCATCTCTTTTGAAGTGTGCTGAGTTTTTGAAATTCTTGTTATAATTTTATTTTTAGGCTCAATTACTGGGATTTCCCTTGGGCCTGCATAGCTTACTTGACAACCAAGGATTTTTAAAAATATATTCAAATACCTCAAGTCAGTATGGCTCCACCCTCTGCTATTTGGTGAACTTCTGTGTGTGTGTGTGTGTGTGTGTGTGTGTGTGTGTGTGTGTGTGTGTTTGTAAGGTAGTACTCATAATTTAAAAACAGTTCTCGAATCAATTTTGGATTATGTTTTTTACTGGATCATCTTTGTTTCTTCTACACAGTGCAAATATTTTTTCCCACCAATCAATTAGGTGTAGATAGTTAATATCACCTCTTGTACTGTGCTCTCATATTGAGTACCTTCCTGTTTACAGCTGACACAGACTAGAAAAAGGATGGTCTTCCTCACTTTTAACCTAGTGAGTTCAGCACTTTGACATGAAAATAGAGTGGGCAGTTTAACCACCACTTCCAAAGTAATCAGACTCCCCCCGTGGCAACACCAGTGATGTCTCAGTGTTCCCCAAACAGTGAGAATTACACCTCTTACACACGAATTGAGATGGGTATTGGGGGCGTCTTAGACACGAAGAATACAAATTTGCTCTATTTTTACTGGAACATCTAGCTGCTTTTTCCAATAATAACTGCTCCTGGTATTTTTACTCTTTGATCAAGTTTCAGAGTTATAAAATTGTTATGCTTGTCCCTTCACTTAATCGTGCTAATACATTTTCTAAATGTGTCCAATATATAAAAGTATATTATAAATTGAATCACTCTAACCTAGAAAAAAACTGTATTTGGTTTTTCATTTTTTAAATCAGCTTTATTTACATTGCAAATATACAATTTAGTTACTTAATATATTTTTAATTCCATTTCAAGTATCATAGCTTGCCATATACAACATTACCTATTTTTGAAACTGCTATGTAAGAACACTATAAAATACAAACTGTAACCTATATAATTCCCTTTCTGTATTCTGATTCAAACCTTAAAACAACATTGATATAGCCCCAATCTTGGTAGGTCAGCTGGTTAGAGCATCATCAAACTACACACAGCATGCTGGTTGATGCCCCATTATGCATGCACACAGGAAGCTCCCAAGGAATGCCACACTAAGTGGACCGACTAACTGGTTGCTCTCTCTCTCTGTCTTTCATCAATAAAAACTAAATTAACAAACAATAGCATTGATTTAAAAAGGGAAGTTAGTTAATGGGCATACATCTATTTTTTCTAATGAAGAATGGTAAAAAGAGCTACCTATGTAAGTAAATTAAGAGTAGCTAAAAGCTTGTGAATTTTGAAACTTTTATCAAAAAGGTCTTTTGTAAATTGCCAGTTATAAAAATCAGTCACAACAATGCAAAGCACAACATGGAGAATATAGTCAAGAATATTCTAACAAATATGCATGGTGTCAGATGGGCCCCCAGATCCATGGGGGGTGGTCACCTCTCAAGGCAAACAGAGGGTCCAAAACAATATTGAATGTGAACAGTAAAGAAAAACATTTTTTAAAGTTGTTTTCAAAACAAGTTCTCTGAAATTATCATTGTCACATATTTTCTAAGGCCAATTTATTTTGTCCAAAATCATTCTCATTGTCTAATATTAAAACCTGCATTCAAATACTCAATGTACAAATCAAACCACAAGCAAAAGCATTATAATGCTTAATACAGTCATTTAGAATATAAAGTTTGTCCTGACTGGTGTGGCTCACTTGGTTGGACATTATTCTGTAAAGGGAAATGTCACTGGTTTGATTCCCAGTCAGGGCACCTGCCTGTGTTGTTGCAGGATTGGTCAGGGATCCAGCATAGGACAGGCAACCAATTGTTTCCCCGTTCTTTCTCCCTCTCTTCCTCTCTCTCTAAAATTAAATAAGTTGAATCTTTAAAAATAAATAAAATAAAATATAAAGGTTTAGACTTTTGTTTTATTCTCCCATGCTAATGCAGTCATAGATTTGTAGTTTTCTTAAAAGTCTTGTGCATCTCACAAACATGCAGGGTTCTCTTTCTCATATTCTGATACCCTTGATGGTTGCTGGTGGGCTTCTTGCACATGCACACCTGAATTTCCAACTTAGCTTCTAATGTGATCACACCTCTTTTTTTTTCATGAATTATCATTCCCAGACTTTTGAAAAGTTTATTAATATCCATAATATCAGCTTCCAGTTGCCTAAGAGAAGACTCTTTCATGAATAAGGTGGAGGTCATCCTCTGTAATTCCCCCACCCTGCCCCTGACCTTGAGGGTGAGTTTGGCTTTTCCAGAACACAAGAGTCCTTTTTTTTGAGCTCTCCTCAGGAGTTCCACCAGATGCTCTGGAGCAGGCTCCCCACTCATGCAGAACACTCTTTCTCTTTCTCAGCTGCTCACCTTTGGGGAGTTGGTCAGTGATGCTATGAATTCAGCCACTGAGAAGTAACCTGTATTTTTCCTTTCAGGCTGTTCACTGAGGGTGGTAAGAGGAGATATGGACTGTTTCATGGACTTACTTGTCTCTTTGGCCAGTTGTTTAGAATATTATTAGTTCTGCTGCAGCTGTTGCCTCAAATGAGGTGATTCTTCAGGTGTTCCACATTGATTCAGAGTCCTTAATTTTTTCACACAAGGTCCTGTGATCTTTGGGTGTTGGATATGCTCAGACAGCTGGGTGGGGTGACCAAGAAATCGTGGATGGCAGGGTGTGGTTGATTGCTTATTCACTAGTGTCATCAGATTTTGGAGGGCTGTGCAGTTTAGTTAGCTATCACCTCCCCCTCTAACTGTGAGCCCACATTTTTGTTTTGCAAATACAAATTAATTTTATGTAATTTCTCATAAAATTTCTTTTATCATAGAAGTTTTTGAACATTTTCAAAATATATCCATGGACTGGACTGTTCCAGACAAATAATACTAATTCTTGGGGGTGGACAATTGGCACAACTCTCTCTTCTGAACTGTAAGTTTCTTTAGAACTCATATATATTATTCCCTCATGCTTTCAATCATGACTTAATCTCAGAAACAAAAGACAATGATTGAACAAGTATGTGAAGGAATATTTAATTGTTTCTTAGAAAAATGTTAAGAAATATTCAAATTTACTATGCAAATAATACTATAAATATTTGTTTATTTAAATATTAAGTTATGTAGCCTCAGATTAATGATTTATTATCTCTGCATTTCAGATTTGCAAAAACTTCAGAGTTGGACAAGAATTGCGTATTTTGGAATTTTGAAACACACAACTTCTATTCTGAATCCTGTCTAGAAAACAAAACATATATTTGTAAGCACCAGTCACATTAGCTCACCTAAATTTGGTATAATGTTACTCTCACCATCCCTAAAGAACACATTTCTAGTTTCTTCAAGAATGCTGCAATTATTTTTGTAAAACTAAGTTTTAAGAATTATTTTGAGATCAGTTTTGGTTTCAGCACAAAAATAAAAGGAAGGTGCTGACATTTCCCATGTTCCCCTGCATGCAGAGCATCCCCACTATCAGCATCACTCAGCAGAGTGGGACGTTTGTCACTGAGAATGAGTCTGTGCTGACACATGGTAGTCACTTAAGTCCATACTTTATCTGACGCTTCATCCCTGGTATTACAGAGTTGTTTTGATATCTATATTTTTGTTAACCTTTCAAAGTCTATATCCAGGTGCATATTAAACATTTAAAAATCTTGTTATTAATTAAAATATATCAAGTATAAATCATGAATTGTAATATCAAGCACTGTTACTTCTAAGTCTAAATTAACATGAATAATTGTACACACACCTTCAATATAATTTTCCCCAGCCTTTGAATGTTGAAAATGGGGACTGAACATATCAGGATAACAAGGTGTATAAGGCAGTTGAGTCAGGGGAGAGAAACCAGGGATGATTTAAAGAATTATTAAATATTTTAGGGGGACAGCCTTCAGAGAGGGGTTGAAGAAAATTACAAAATATACCAAAGGTTAATCAAAGAAGATTACCAAAAGGAAGAATCATATATGACCAAGGCTATCTCCTCAGCAATGGGTTGCAGACTCATGTCAGTACAGAAGACTCTGTGGCAGACATGATGTTCACTGAATGGCTCTAGGAGAGAGAAGCTCACAGTCTGCAGGCTGATGGATCTCACAGTGTGATCGGCAAGTAGGATGACCTCTCTGACAAAGGGTCATCAGGCCCAGGTTGCAGAAGGGGGAGCTCTTGCTGTAAACAGTCACAAAATCTTGCTGGAGGGTGAATATTACAAGAACTTCCTGCATGCATGCAGATACCAGCCACAGCACTGGAGCCAAAGGAGAGAAAACAGCATGAAACCAGGAAGAGGAGTCCTTTCTCCCAGTGCCCTCCACTGACAAAGCATCAAGCCAGCTGACTGGAGAAGAGGTTGTAGGATCTGCTGCCATGATCTCAGAAAGG